GTTTTTACCCCCCATGCTAAAGTGTTCCATGTATCAACRTAGTCAATGTGGTATTGTGTGAGTCAATGCCATTTAGTATTACCATACTAGTGGACTATTACATTCTGATTGGCTTCGCTACTCAGAGTCTATTTTCAATAGTCCTCGGCTAGCAAAAAGCGACAACTTTTTGCATATTTTTAGTAATAAAAACATTTAGTTAATTTATAACATGTATTTCATTCATTTTTTGTCCAACTATTACAGTAATACTAACATAACTCTATTTGAATACTAAAATAATTAGATCTCTCGGCATTCTGTGGTAGTCGACTCAGCCTCGAGATCGAATTGTTAAATATCCAATCTTTCAACATCAGGTAGGGTGAGACAGAGGGACCAATAATGAATCACCATTCTCAACCTGTCTCTGTACTTAATGTGGTGGGGGATCATTTTTAATTGATTCTTCCCCTCAAGTAACACCACCCTCTCCTGAAAATAATTAGTACTAACAAGGCATTTCCCAAAATTGAACAGATACATGTAGAGACTAAAATATAATGTAAAAACACCATTTTCAACTTAGGTTCAGCTTAAAAAAATACAAGGAAATTACAGATCACACGTTTCTAGGAAAATATGTAAATTACAAACACTGTGGGCTGTGTGACTACATATATTTATATTTTTACATTTTATTTTAGTCTCAACTCTTCAATTTTGGGAACAGTAGTTATTGAGGATAGGTTAGTGTTAGTTTAAAAAAAAAACACAACCAATTAAAAATATACCCCCACCCACTTAACAATAAAAATATCAATTCTAACAAAATATATTTAAATAATATCCMAAAAACTGTTTTTGTTAGAAAAAAATGCATCCTGCTGCCTAATCCCCTTCCTATAGAAAATATTGAAGAAACCATTTCTATATACACATTGAACACAAAGCAAATACACWWGTGTTTGCCACTCCGACAATAACAACTGAGAGAGGTGCAATATCYTAATTGCATGGACCAATATTTGCAAAACAATACATGTTAGTTTTTCCTGTTATCAGTTGTATAGTTCCGTATTTTTGGAAAACAAATTCATTTTTAGAAATGGGAAATAAAAGAAAAAATAGGCACACTTGWACACTCAAAAAATAAAATATGATACTAGTCTATCAAATAAGGCTTCTTAATATGACGATAATTACGCTATCTGGCGGAGTATCTGTAAACTAATCTCGCTCCAAATTAACGATCTACCGACAAATTTAAGCACAGGAAAGACTTCTTYTCTAAAATTAGCTTATAGCAGATGTCCTTTGCCTAAGTGCTTGTTGAATTTCATGTCACCATAAATAATACAATATCTCGAGTGTTGCTCTAATTTACCAGTAACTTTTCTGAGTATATAAATTGGCTATCATCTACCTGACATAAATCAAAATCCATACTCAAAAGATTCACAAGTTAACATATTTTGATATCGTGCGACAGATGTTGGCTGCCCAGTTTGTAAACGGGAATCTCTTACCTTCGCTATTGTCGTGTTGAACAGTTCGCTCTATGTAAGGCCACTCATTGTAAAATCTTTTTATCAAGACATATGAGTTCACAGGRTGTCCTAAGAAGTTTTCTAGCTGGCCATCCACGACAGAACTATGGACATTTTCAACTTTTTCTAAAAACTTTTTTAACACACGTAAGCGGTTCTCTTCAAGTGTGATGTAGCTCTTCAACGCGTATTTCATTTCTCGCTCTCTGTAAACTAAGTGCTCTAGGTCTACTAAAGCTGTGAATTGTTCGCAATGAGTYAGATAAAGAGTCTGGGATAGCACAAGAAAGCTCAAAATCCAAGAGCTGKCCATTTTGCTGTTAGTCATTAGCGACCCTGTTACCTGAACTAAAAGACGGTCTGTTATGTGTTGGATTCAGACGACCGTGACTGGATAACAAGTATAGTAGAGAGACTTTAGGTCAATCAGTCCAAAATTTCGCTAATTATTCTCGCACAAGAGCTCAAATAAAATSCATAATTTTTTTAATAACTATATCAAAGTGTTTAGTTATTACAATTAAAGAAAACAATATCTCATTTAAACTATAATATCTTCTATGTGYAATTCAATCTGTAGTTGTAGATGCAAATGTAGTTTCTCCTTACATAGCATACCGACCATGTTATGGGTGATTCAGCCAACAGAGGGGACATTGTTTTATGTTATTTTTAGTCTTTGATCATTTTACCAATTCAAACGTGCAAAATTTCACGAACATACTGGATTGGTATATTGAGACTAAAACATTTTGTCCAATTAYAATAAAATATATTTTAAGCCTGCAAAAACAGCTGGTCTCAATTTCGTTGAATAAAAAAAAATGGAAAAAAACCCTGATCCATTTCGTTCAATAAAATGCAAATTTCTCATAAAGTTGAAATGATTTTTGAAAGAAGAAAAAAAATCCAATGCRCGTAGCAACGGTGAGCTACAGSCTCTAGTAGTTAGCAACGTTGGACTAGTGGCTAATAGAATTCGTACTCTGCCATTTTCCACTTGGATCAGCTGTGAACGGCTTACTTAGCCGTTTTTTTGTAAACAAAGATTCACTTATTTACATTGCTAACTCCTGACTAAATTTTCGGGAGGCGAATGACAGACGGCGAGATTAGCGTTTTCCGTCCTGCAAGACAGCTAGACGTTTTGACTTATTAAAGCAGGGGAAAAAAAGAAAAAAAAAAAACTACTGCAAGCTCTTCAAATTTGACTTTTAATATAAACTTTGCGAGACAGGGAATTTGTGAAAGACCATTCGCCACACGTAAATGGAGGAGCAATTTGAAGCAACTATGCCTCTAAGCAGGCAAGACTCAAAACACYATTAACATTGATGAAATAATTAATCGACTAGGAGCAAATTAATTACTGATTAATTACAGCAGGTGAAATAGCGGGAAAACGCAGACATGTCCTGCGTGGTGCCTGGAGGGATTAATTCTCTATTTGCTTTGAATTTTGTAAAGAACGCAATGGAAAGGATTGATGTTTGTTTTAAAAGTTCTTCATTTACGTCGCCTTCATACATTCGTCCTGGGATCAGCTTGCGTCACTGCATACTCAGTCTCTCGGCGCGGCACGTTTTCGTATGTTGAGTTTCTGTTGTCGATGGCTGGCCTTTTCTCGCTATCGTTTCTTGCGCCAGCTTACGTTAATAGAAATGCATCTGGTTGTGTCGGCACTGTCTCCTATCCGTCAAGTATTCGCTTACGTTTGCGTAGATGTTCGTGTTTTCTTGTTTCGCGAAAGACAACTAGCCTAGTATAAAACAGGACAGCACTATAAAGCAGACTTTTTTAAGTTTGCATGCAAGCGGAAACTGGGATTCATGATTTACCTCCGCGGCTTATAACCAATCAACGAABTTCCAAAATATGATATTCAAACTATTGAAATCGTGCGAAATATCACGAATTTATCAAAAACAACAAGAACATCAACAGGTGGCTCATGGCAACGTTATTACAGTTGTCATAACAACGGCACCTGTTACGTCATTTACATCACATTACCCGCCGTAGCTCACCCGTCAGTGGAAATTGTAAATTTTTCCATCCTCCATTTTAGGAACTCAAATTTACGTGAAAAAAAACGATCTTAGATATCTTTTATTGCAAAATGAGTAGCTTAAATGATTTAGCAAAATGGGTATACATTGTACTAAAGACATTGTACTAACGTTATCGAGATGGCGTTAAATAATTAATCATTGAAATATAGTGTTATATAAAATAAATTGGTCCCGATACAATAGACATAAAGGAATTAGCTATAGAATAGTAACGGAGAAAGCGTTCAGGTCGTTCTGACCGTGAACTCTGGTTCCTTACTTCAAAATGCCTGGGTTTACATCGATAATTATACTATCCACATTGACTTCACTGTCTCATGGACACATCTTTGACTCTATGGACCATATGAGAGAATTGGTTAGACTAGAACATGACTTAGAACAAAGCCTAAACGATTATATTCAATCGACTGGTGATTCGTTTGGGCAAATCAAAGACTTCGCTGATCTTGTTGAAAATCAAACAAAGATCGTCAAAATTCAAGGCAATAAATACTTAGACAGTCCTATCAACGCCTATGCTATTATCAAACGGTTTACGGATGGATGGAATCGTCTATCTWCTATCGTGAAAACAGGACAACATTACGAAGGTACGGAAAACGGCGCACATTTTACGCGAATAGGGAGTTAATGCAATGCTATAATAATGCCTTGCGGAAACATGGCGGAAAGCCGTTGCGCGTGTGCTATCAGCTTGTTACTRACTGTCTTTGTTCATATACCAATGTGTTCATCAGATACAGAAAGCGTTATTGTGAAGTATCTAGTAAAAGTACTAACTATAATTGATTTTYCCACATAAATCTAACACGATATAGTCAATAGCTTGCTCATTTTATAAAAGCTGCCAGAATTTAGCCTGCATGTGTACATCGAATGTACACAGGCTATRCTACTAGAATTTTCTCAAAAAAGCTTCTAAACATCCAATCGAGGATATTTAGCGCGTTGCATCTTCCATAGTTTGTAACTACTATAACTATGAACTTCCTTAACAGATCTTGCACCTTATCAAAAATTGACATTCCAGAATACAAAATAGTTTTGAAAACTTTTTGGCACCCTTTYACGTATTTCAACCCTTCAAATCAATGTTTTTTTACTTGTTCTAAAGCAAAAACAACTACGATGAGACGATGAAGTTTTCTATTTATATCAGTGGTGTTATGAGACTATAAACTTGTGGTTTAATTGTTAGTCGTATGTAAATTTTTTGGCTGTTCCGTAAAAAARCAGATGTTTGAATATAAAAMACACCATCAGCTGGAGAATGAGTACGATCGAGTTGCCAGAAGAAATTTCAACTCCTTGTAAATGTTCTTGGTAGTTTAACTACCTGAATTTCAGCGTTAGCACTGTCATATMATAGATATCCGAAACAAGTGCGCTATTGTCTTTYTTTCGTAAAGAACTTTCGAAAACATAAACCATTTCAGCCTCAGTGTAAGTCACAACAGTTTCTAATGMAATGCATGAACTTCCAAACCCTAAATTTATAATTGCTCTTATATTTATGGTTTCCCTTTCAGATTTAATGAAACTTTTAACCAAAAGTAACGCTAGCATCCCTTCAAATGACAACGAAGACATTTAYGGTGCTTTAACCGCCATTTTGAGRCTRCAAAAGACTTATAATCTYAGTACAAAGTCCCTCGTCAAAGGGATTATACCMGGTTGCCAGGCGACCACACCKCTGACTGCYGATGACTGCTTTGATTTCGGGTCAGCAGCTTACAAATTGAGACAATTTAGTCGGTCACGTGAGTGGCTGGAGCAAGGAATAAAAATGGCGCGTAGGCCTGGGTATGATGGCGATGTATCGTTACAGAGTCTACTGGAATACCTCGCATGGGTGGAATTCGTGGTAAGTTTCAGTTCTATTCCTTTGGTTGAAAGACTAACGCGGCCCGAAAGGTCATCAGCATTGCTCTCATTCTTCCTTTGAACCACGCGCCTGTTGGCACTACCCGATACCAATCCCCTCTGCGCCTTAGCTCTTCCGGGTTTTCGAGGGCTGCTCGCTCTACTTATCATAGTGTTTTTATTTAATTTGTTTATTAATATCTGTTTCATTGTAAGCACCGTCGTCACACTTATTTAACACTGGTTTACGTGAATGAAATGGCAATCTGTTTTCAAGTTTATGAATGATTTCCCTTTCAGACTGGTTATACAGAGAAAGCACTTAACATCACTAAAGAGCTCATCCATTTGGGTAAGTGTCTTTAAGGTATTCAAGTCTCCTTTCGTGCTTAAGTTATGATACTATCTGGATTTCTATAAAGTTTATGATGTAGCTAACCTCCCTTAGCAGTCAAGCCACCTCTATGTCGTCATGCTACAGTACTCCGTGGGCTATGTTGCCTCCATTAGTATATGCCCCTGCCTTGCCCGACGACACAGCAGGGGTCGCCGCTAAAATATATTCGGCTAGGGCGTAGGCCGCTGCCGTTGTTTATGAAAATTGGGACGGGTCTTCCCCTAAACACTACTCCTCTGCTCCACAATGGTATAGATTTGTTCAGGCTAACCTTGCTAGATATAAACTGGGAAATAAAGGCAACTCATCCTTAGACCGTTTTTATGATGTCCAGAGAAATAAGGAGAAGCTTTGCCCCAAACTCCTTCCCTTTATCTTAAGTTATGCAACTTTACAATCATACACTCATCTGCTTTTTGTGATTTTGAACCTGCGTAAATTGTTGCTTAATCAACATTGCTTATYTTAGCTCCAAATGTGTTTAAATATCAAAGCAACGAGATGCATTACCAGCAAATTGTCGAGCGCGAGTTTCCGCTGACCGAGGAACAAGTCGATGCACAAAAAGAACACGACGAAACACAAGCATTCATGAATTCAACGTACGCAAGACTATGYCAAGGAAAACCCGTTGATTTCAATGTGAGTACTCATATCAAACAGTTATGGTTCTTAATGACACTTGGAAAAACCCACTGCACATGCTTGGAAGACGTATGGCAAATTAATAGGATCAGCGACTTAGATTTTTGAGTGTTACATTAAATCGCAAAAGTTATGAAAAATATTGAAAACTTAAGGTATTCTTTATCATAGTGTGATGTTATATTGTCAACACCCTACTAAAATATATACAAGACCGCAAAACTCCAACTTGAAGCTTTGTAATTCTGAACGTTTTYGTCCAGACGAAGAAATATATTTGCCTCTTATGTGTACGAACTCTTCAGCATTAACCAACATTTTGTTGTTTAGACATACGCATGCGCTTTCCGTTTCTTACCAGTGTTCCTCTTAATATGGTCCTCACCCCTTATGACGTCATGCCATGTTCGGCSTGGTTCACTATAGGATTTTTGAAAGTACAGAATCAAGGACCGAGGAATAGTTTATTTTCCCGTTCCTGCTTTTCATAATTTCCAACTACCAGCAATTTTTTCTTCATTATTTATTGGCCATGATACCTTATCATTGTTTTTAATATTGTGATTCATGATTCATAACTATTCTCATTTTTCCATTTTCATATAGGTATTTCAAAAAAGGTTGTCGGATAAAATGGCGAGTGTCAATTGTCGAACGGCGATTKCACGACCGAAAGTAGCCATGGGTTTGCTTGTGAAATGAAATAACAATTGATTTGTACTGTATGATCCAGTGTGGTAAACATTGGCTCCATTTAGTCGCCATTACTATGTAAGGTGAATCCAATAGGTGAAATTTTGTTTATCAAAACAGTGTAACCATAGTCCTTTTCGGTCGTGCAATCTCTCTTCGACAATCGCCGTTCGCCGTTCTCCCCGACAACGTTCTTTGACATAGCTGTATACTAGAAATGACTTATGTGAAACCGTTCTGTTGTGTACTTAAGGTTACAGTACAAGACAAAAGTCAATTTAAATGTTGGTATGAAAGACGTAGTGATCCAAGACTCCTCCTAAAACCAATCAAGCTTGAAATGATAAGCTCAAAGCCAGAAATTTACATATTTAGAGACTTCATTAAAGATTATGAGTCTAATATCATTACATCCATCGCAGGACCTATGGTACGTACTACATGTCTAAASACAACCATCCCAATGACACGACCAGTTATTTTTTTATGTTTTCCAGGGTTATTTGCGGCTAGGTTGCTTGGCATGTACTTGCCAAGTTGTCGAATAGTTAGTTGGTTGGTCGGTTGGTTGATTATGTGGTTTGCTATTTGTTTGCTTGGTTGGTTGCATGAGTTTGTTGGCTGGCCGGCTGGTTGGTTGGTTGATTGGTTGGTCGGTTGGTTGGTTGGTTGGTTGGTTGGTAGGTTGGTATTTTTGGGTATGTTGGTTGGTGTGTTGGCTGGTTGATTGGTTGGTTGGCTGCACAAAGTTTGTTGTTCGTTTATGGCTAGTTTATTGGTTGATTAATTGTATTTCTGGTTTCCTGGTTTCGATTGGTTGGTTGTGATGACGTCACAGTATCTCTGAGTTTAGCTGGCTGATTACCACTGAGKTTTCGATAGCTTGTTTTTTTCTTGATCAAATTAGTGATTTATCAGTGTCTTTTTCCAGTTAAAAAGAGCAACAGTATTCAACTCAACATCTCAAAAACTCGATTATGCTGGATATAGAGTAGCAAARAGGTTTGTATAACCTTAAGGGTATAGTTTTGTCTTATAACAAACCCTACTGAACTTAACCGGATTAATTCGTCTTATATTGGTCTACTTTTGTTTCGTTATTTYTCCCATTAACTAGCGACGGAAGACGGTTTATTAACGTTTGCAAAGGAGAATTTCCAAATTGACATATTTTGGAAATCGTTTATCATCTTTGGATCAGTCACTATTTTATTGCAATAGGGTGTCTTTCAAAAGGGCAGGCCACTGGCATGGGGAGGAGCACAATTTTGATGTAGTACAAATCTTGATTCGTAATAGACTTCTGAACCTTTTACGTCACTACTTGATTTTCAATGCATTGTGGGATCAGTTTCTAGAGAAAATAAAAGCAAACCGCCATTTTTCTACAATGCATTGCGTATACGGTACATGACGTAAAAGCTTCAAAGGTCTACTCCGAATGACCAAGAATCGCCCGAGGAAAAACAACCAACAACAAAGCCATCGCCGCCATGTTGGATGATGAACAAAAGATAAGTTCCTTCCATGGTTTATCTAACATGATGAATATGGCTKAGATTATACATCAGCGGTTTTATGGGATATTGGAGAACAATAATTCTTCTWTTTCTTTCCAGTGCGTGGCTAGATGATCACATGCACGARGTCATCAAAAGGGTTAATGTAAGAGCATCACTTATGACAGGACTTGATCAAGAATGCGCTGAGAAACTCCAGGTAATTCTGTCGTTTGAAATCATTTTCAAAACCCGAGAGGGGAGGACTCCGGGATAAAAGTACCGGGGATGCTCGTTGGAAATTTTCAAAAAGACCCCTAAAAGATCCAAGAAGTCTTGAAAAAAGGGCGTGGCTCACTGATTTTTAACCCCTAATAGATTGCACAACAAATATTGTTAATAAACCTTAAAGATCCTCGTACGGCCGGGAATCTTTGCGCGTTTTGTTTTTAAGAAAAGTCGCCATATTTGATTTTGAATCAACSGGAAAGCAACTTTTAAAAACAGATCTTTTAAAGTGCATATGACATGATTTTTTTKGTTTTGAAAATAAAATCAATATGAAGAAAATAATAGTTCTGTAAAGTGCCACTGGATGCAGGCYTCTAATTTCAGAGAAAAATGGATTTTATGCTAATTTGATGACGTCAAAGTGTAACTCATTAATTATACAAAATTGTCCGATTGTTTATTGTCACCTTATTGTTTTGTAGAAGATATTTGTTATGTAATCAAAAACAATCTTTCAAAGTTTGACATGGGTATATTAGGAACACTTGTTACAAAACACAGTTGAAATGTTTTAAAGCAATACACATTGACGTCATCAAATTAGCATAATGGATTTTTAACTCCGATTTTCTCTGAAATTTGAAGCCCTGCATCAAGTGGTAATTAGCCAACCTGTTATGCTTGTTCTATTGACTCTATTTTTCAAATAAAAAAAATTGTGTCATATGCACTTTGAACACTGAGTAAATGATCGCAAGGATTCTCGGACGCAAGTAATTCTTATAACAATAATTTCCATGCAACTCTTCCCTCCCCTGAAGACATCAATCATTTGTTCCTGTATTATTGACATTCAGATTGGTAATTACGGAATGGGTGGACATTACGAGACGCATTTTGATTATGGAGTAAGTACGAAGATCTTTACAGTGACATTTTGTATTTCAAATGCCTTGATACGTTTACTATACGTTTACGTCAACGTTACGTTGAAGCTACGGCAACATTAMGTCATTCCGTTAATCATACGTTCAGMCACTTCAACTTTGCGTAATGTTACGTCAACGATGCGTTTACTCTTCAGTGCCATGGATGTACCTGCGTGCAAACCGTTCTCACCTAGTTATTACTGTCGCTGAAAAAACCGTCTGTACACAGGCCACATGTACGGTATCTCAGCTATTGGCGCTTACACTTTCATATTACCGAAATATACCGTTTTTCTAGGACGCTGGTACTCCAATAGAGAAAGATAAAGTGCTGGGGAATCGAATCGCTACACTTCTGATATACGTAAGTAGATACGGCACTGATTGAAGAAGCGTTGTCACATGTTTAACGTAAACAAAACGTAAACTAGACTAAAGATGATAACAGACTAAAAATGGTCATGGGATGTCTTTTTATATTCCTCTGTGTGATGTCATGCCGAATGTTTTATCGAAAGTAGCCTGGGAGCTATCACGTACCGTCTGCACGTACGTACGTATTGGCTTGCTTCCATAAGAAAGCTAGAACACCTCGCGCACGTGAACGGAGCTTCCGTGCGTTTTTCCAATAGCCGAGTTTAGATATTTTGGTTCAGTGACCATGCACAAAAGAATTGCAGACGAGGCTCCGGGGAAATAAAGAATAAATCAAGATTATCCATTSATAATTTTATTTTTTTTAATATTGTTAAAGAGTTATTTTGAAGTGCACGCTTCAAAATGACCAATCCAAGATCGTATAATATCGTTTTATTCTTTATTTCCCCGGAGCYTCGTCTGCAATTCTTTTGTRCATGGTCACTGAACCAAAATATCTAAACTCGGCTATTTACACTGGTTCTGTGAATGTGTTTTTTATAGATACGTTTCTTTATGTTGTAGTTGAATGACGTTATTTCTGGGGGAGCCACAGCGTTTGTAAAAGCAGGCGTTCAAGTTAAACCGTCAAAGGTTTGTCATTTCTATAGTCATAATTCTGCTAAAGCGGGAACCTCACAATGCATATAAATAACTATACCACCATGATCATATATCTTCTGGGAAGGACAGGAAGCCCGCAAAGGGAGAGGCTGTGAAAAAGCCTACATAATCACGGTCGTATGCAGGAATTGTCATTAGGGAGGGGTCCCTACACACCAAATTATCATTATCTACTGTTTTAATCGCAAATYCAGTAAGAATCAAAACCATTGAGAAGCGAGGCGAACAGTAATTTCGTTACATGATCCATGGCAAAATTTCTGTCTTGTTGCAAGGGGCAATGACTACACTAAGCACTGACGAAATATGTCGACRTGTGTCGTTAGTCATATCGCCCGTGTAAACCAGGCTTTATAAATCACAAGATATGAATATGAGTACCGCATGGCACTACTAATAGAACAGATATAGAAATGAAAGAAAGTTATAGTGCTTAAAAGGAGACAATTCCGGAGAAAGACCCTTAGGAACAAAATTCGGAAAAACATAATTTCCGACCTCGCTTTCTTTCATTTCTATATCCATTAATAAATCACAGCAAATTCTTCGTTAAGCATGCAGCATTAAAACAAACCAGCATAAACAACACAACTAAATAGCACTGAACAACAAACAAACACGGAATCGGACTGAGAATGCATGGGCGTATCCAGGGGGAGGTGGGGAGGCCTTACATACCAAATTGTCACTGTGACGTCATATGACATCAACATGATGTCATATTAATCTATGGTTTTCACGCTTTTTTGGCTTTGAAAGGGGGGTCACGGGCAACCCCCCTGGATTCGACCCTGGAATGATAGGTTAGTTTTTAGGTGTGGCTAATGAACATTACCTGGTTTTGAATGCTTGTAGGGAGATGCTGTGTTTTGGTACAATCTAAAGCGATCATGTCAAGGGGATACCAACACTGCACACGCGGGATGTCCCGTATTGTGCGGGAATAAATGGGGTAAGACATGATGTACTTGTAGTCAGCGGTAGATCGATCTAATTCCAAAGGTTTCGCGAACTCATCCAATCTCGAGCCCAGAGTCTTCACGGCTAATATGTCAGTGGTATGGATGGCAAAAGTGCGGCGGGCTCTGGGTACGAGATTGGACCTCATCTCACTAAATGATCCGCATTCAGCTACGTCGCAAACTCAAMGCTAAAATCGGCGAACTAGAAATTTAGTATCACAAGATCAAGTTTCGAGACATGCGCAGTATGACGCGCGTGCGCTTTATGATACGTCTTTTTCCCGTTCAACGCGAASAACCGCTGCTTTAGTTGACAACAGTCTCTCATGCGCAGAGACCTGGCCAAAAACAAAATGAGAAAGCACGAAAAAATGTTGTCATTACAATAGCGATAAAGCCTGTATTCCCAAAAGTTTCAACGTCTTCCTCAGGCTAAGCCTCAAATCGGAGAAGATACAAATTTCTAGAGCTATTTGTAAGAATCTTTTGTCCTCTACGCAAGTGAGTCTGTTGTCTACTAAAAGAGCGGTCGCTCGCATTGAAAAAGGCTTATTGATTGAATACGGWTTTGTGACTTTTTTTCAGTTGCCAACAAATGGTTCAGACTGTATGGAAATATGTTCAATCGTCCATGCGCACTCGATAAGAACCACTGATTTGACAGAATTCTCAGCCAAGACTCTTGTCTTTCAGAAATCATTGTATAGTGGCACTTTGGCTGCATTGAGGTTTTATAATTCTTTTCTATAAATCTAATTGCATTGACAATTCCTTTATTTGATGTTAAACAATGGACAATTGAATAAATAACTGAACTAATTGGTTATTGCATGAAATCGAATGAAGTCTTTTCTCGGTGGGTCTAGTATCATAAATGGCTTGCGTTGAATACGCCATTCAACCTCGTTCCCAGGCCGTTGAGCGGAGGAGTTAAGGATCTGGGAACGAGTTTGTATGCAATTTTTGTGACGAAAAGCCTTATGGGGACTCTCGTCACTATATTCCATATCGAAACCCGCGGAAGGCCTTGTGACGCAGTGCATTTTGGGATTGATAAATGAGTAAACAAGTGAACAACGATGTCAGTGCTCCAGTTGTCTGTAACGTAGACTCAGTTTTCGAAAAACATTGGGAAATATTGATATCGTAGTTAATCTCAAAAGCGAAAAAACAAACAAATATCAACATGCAAGGAAATACAGCAAGAAAAACCTCCAAAAAATGTACAGTTAATCAAGAATTTCCATTTACTAGGCAAATCAAGCAAAAATGAAAAGAAAAATCGAAACTAATTAGTGTTTTTACGATTTTACTCGATTTGTTTTGATGAAGAAAGGGAGATATATATCCCATGATACATTGCAAAACCATTCAAAATGGCGGGCTTGTGATATGGACTATACACAGTAAATTAATGTTTGTATAGGTTAGCACATAGGTAGCACATTTGGACATCATGATCTGATGACACCAGTCTGGATCTTCACTTAA